CCCTCTAGCGAGAACTTTGAAAGGCTTGGCCGTCTAAAAATTACTTTAAATGTCCAAAATCGCTCTAAAATTTCTTACGTAAACTTTTAACTTCTCATAAACTCTTAGATTTGTGAAAGGTTACTTTTAACAACTTTAATTTTATTTAAATTTAAATTTTCCCAAGGGTAAGGCAAGGCGGAGAAAAACTGAAGTCGTATACAGGAGACTTTCACGACTTAAGGCAGTCTTAAGCACTTACGGCTCGTTCTCTGCCATCAGCCTTACTTTTCGAGGCTCGGTCTGACTTATTGGCAGCGGGGACCGACCGTCGGCCGCCTCGTGGCTGACCAGAGTCGAGCACGAGGAAAAGGATTTCAGAAATAATTCCCGATCATTCGTATGCGGACGAATTCTGTCTTGGAGGTGTTGCCTGCGGACGGAATAACGTTACGTAACGCTACACGTCTTGTAAGCCGCGATTCCGCGCGCTTTCCTGCGATAATAGTAACAGAATTCCAGCGCAGCCAGCTATTACAGCGCGATAGGTCACGTGGACGAGCGATTTTCCGCTCCACAATTTCTCCGGCTTCCTTTCGACTCTTTAATATTAAACCGCGACGTTTTTGTCCCTGTGTATTACATTTTTCACATCTTTTTCTCCGATATTTTGAAGAAGACTTCCGTAAAGTCCCTTTTGCGCACGGCGATGGACAAAATGGCTGCGACACTTCTTTCAGGTTACGTTCCAAAATCGTCTCCGAGGAATATTTCACTTGATTACCACATTTCGCGACCATTTTGAACGTTTTCGATCTACTTCTCAAGTAAAATTTTCCTCGAAGACATTTGGAACGTAAACCTTAATCTAATCTCGCTAAAAAGAAAAAGTGTCGCAATCATTTTGTTATACACCACTGTACGATTAAATTCCCCGCCAAGAGGAATTTTATGTAACGGAGAAGCGAGATGAAATTATAACATAAAAATTGCTGTCATTTGTTTAATGTATCGAGGGAAAGTCCGCAGATTAATTATATGCCCGTTACCCCAATGAAATTGTACCTTTCATGAGCTATTGCGGACTATCCGCGATCTTAATTTGCTCGACGTCGTGATTGACGTCCGATACCAAAAGGTTAACGATGCTTTCACTCGTTTCCAGGACTTAAATAATGCCGGTTGCATTTAAACGTCACTCCAATGGCAGAAATATGCCAAGGACCATTCGCACGCCGCCTATTTATCGTACGAACGTACACGGCAGTCGTGACTTTGATAAGCACGGCACTTTACGCTGCCGGCCCTTGCGACACGGCGGAATGGGAGGCGACTTCCCCGGTTCGCTCGGTTAGGACTGATGCTTTCTAGGAGGAAATTTAACTTTCTCGGCGGCCTCGATCCTGAACGCTGCTCTCCGGACGCGACGAGCGCGGAAAATATTTACCGCCGGGTGAAACTCCCGTTTGGAGCAATTATAAAAAAGTTACTCAGAAAACGCAGTTCCCTTCCTGTCTCAGGCGTGAACGCTTATTTATGTGCCTTAATACTCGGTAGCGAGATTTAAGACGGTCATTTTTTCTTCTGTCGCCTCGCTCGTACGTTCGCGTGTGACGTTTTACGGATTGTCGCTCGAATCTCCTTCCCGGGAGGAAGTTCACGCAAGCGTTTTCCTCTCTTACCGTCAATT